TTTAAAAAAATAACATAAAAAAATATAGCAGTGAAAGGTAACAATATATATATATCTAACCTGTTGGGTTCTGATCTTCAATTCGAAGTTTCAGAAAGATTGTGTTATGATCTTTTCTTTGGCCCTCCACACTAAAGTCTCTTGGCCCCTCAGGCTGACCTTCTTCAGTGCCTATACTAATTAATCGATCGATATATTCGTTGTTATCATCCTGAAAATATATGTCAGGGATCTGCGATCAATCATAGCCCACCTGTGTTGGAGGATTCAGCCTCTTCTGACCGGAGAAAAGGATCCATTAGCAGGTCCCTCGCCGACAACCTCTCCGAAACTTTTGCTATACATTTCTCGATGAAGGCCCTCACTGCAGAATCATTCACTTTTGCTAATGAAGCAGGTTTGATTCCCTGTGATGAAGTATAATGGTACATGAAAGAGGGAGTTAGATCAATTTCTTATAATTCCTGCAAAATTATATGTTGTTGGAGAATTTTGATAACTAAAATGAAAAATGGAAAAGATGATCCTGCAAATTCATGTAAGAATTCAGAAGATGATCCTACAAGTGTGGACCTAGAAAGTGTTTGGTCATGTGGTGAGTACAAACTAGAAAGGGCTCTATTTACGTATACTTTTTACATTTTTGGTATTATTCACCTACGTGCATTAAGTATCTAGTTTTTTTTTAAAGTATTCAATCAAAACTTTATTTGAAATACAAAACATCCCATTCAACACGAGTTTATATCACATTATATCTCTATTTTTTATTTGAACCTTCTATTATTCCCACCAAAACTCTCCAAATCTTCAAAACACTTTTAAATATTAGGCTTTGTTCTTTTAAAGATTGATTTGATAATTTTTACTCTATTCATTATAAAATACAATATTTTTCCTCACAAAATATCTCATTCAAATTAATGTTCAAACCCAAAATCAAAATTAGAAAACAAAACAAAACTTCAAAAGAACGCACCCAAGAAGTTTATATACCCAATCTAATGAAAACAAAACCACAGCAAGAAAAGAAACAACAATAGATTCGTTCCAACGAAAGTAATGACAGCAAGGTGCAGCAGATGATTGATTCTAGGTTAACCGCTTCTTTCTTTAGTTTTATCCATATTCTTGGGCCTAAAAACAATATCTCATAGTCTATAATGCCTTCTTTGCTACAAGAAACTGAGAATGGAATGTTGAACATCTACCCAATGGAATTCAGATTAACTTACAGCTGTAACTTTCTTGTATATCTGAGCTGCATTAGCGCATTCAATGTACGGATACTCAAGAGTCACTAGCTCCAGCAAGCACATGCCGAAGGCGTATATATCCACAAGTTCATTGTACTCCTCTTCGTAAAGCTCTGGTGCCATGAATTCCGGGGTACCTAAATAGAAAGGTAAGTCCATAACCATCAAAGTTTTTGAGGACTAAAGAAACAATGGTTCATCTTGACTTCAATTTTTACCAATGACACTGTGGGCTGCTCGAGCTTGTTGAAGAATCGCAGCAAGTCCTAGATCGCCAATTTTCACTTCCCCTTGATTCCCATTCACAAAAATATTGTCGCATTTAACATCACGATGGATCACTGGAGGATTGTGACTGTGAAGATATGCAAGGCCTTCAAGAATTTGTCGAGACCAATTCTTCAATGCTCGAACATCAACATGTTTATGTTTCTTTCGGTATCTACCCAATAATTTCATCCAATTTAGAGTGTGCATTCAACAGAGTGATATATTGAACAATGCAAAAGATCATATATTATATATATATATATATCATCCAATAATATATATCTTCTAATAATTGAACAATCTTGACATACTGCCGAAGAGTTCCAGAGGTGAAGATTTCAGTGATGAAATTGATGTTCTCTTGCTTGCTATCGATCCATGAGTTGTAAAATTTGATGATGTTCTTGTGCTTAAGTGTTTTTAGCAAACGAACTTCCGAAAACAATCTATCCATATCAACAGAACTCCTCACGAGATCTGAAATCTTCACCTGATTCCAAGCCACTTCCAATCCTTCCAATTCATCAAAACCTCTGTATCTAATATTTCATCAAGAAAAATTAAGGATTTGCATGAAAATAAACTGTCTATGCTATGGTATACACATTCTCTATCAGAATATGTAACAAACTCAGAATTCCAGGAAGGATACACTTTCTTGAAAGCACCTTTACCAAGAACTTGCTTATACTGCAATTCCGCAACCAAAACAACATTTTATAAGAAATTAACGAATCAACAACCAGAAGTATTAAACAATAATCAGAACATTAAGCTTATCGTGAAATCTTAAATCACTTCTCAAATATAAATACAAAAACAAGGCATTTCATCCATAAAATATATATAAACAATTTCACGTAACCACGAAAATTGCACGAACCCGTCCATAGCGACCGGTGGGATCAATTTCAACAAACTCGGATTCAGCGTCGGATTCGGCGGGGTCCGTCGCTGCCGAGTTTGGCGACATTATCGTATTTAAATCTACAAACAGATCGCATCAAAAAAAGAGAAAATCAGAACAACTTCGATTCAGATCTAGCGCTAAAAATTGTTGCGGCGAATTGATGAATTCTCCAATCGACTAGCATATTGATCGTCGTTGGATTCGATGAAACTTGAATACGACATAGGTTTGCGGCTTCGAGATACGAATCGAAATTCAACCATTGCAGATTTTCATCGAATGCATAAAGTTTGATTCTGGTTTCATGTAGAGAAGTTTACGTCGATTAATGCACACAAAATTTTGAATATGCGCTTCCGAAAAAAGTACCATACATATCTGTACACATATATATATATAGGAGAGGATAGACTATTCTAGAAATATGAAAACAAATTCATTTCCTCCCGTATGAAAAATAATAATAATAATAATAAAATAATATATATATAGGAAAATACTAATAATAATAATAATAATAATGCGGTTGAGTTAGAAGTTTTGGTTTTTGGAATAATAAAAAATTGCATATATTTTTATAGAAAAATGAAATAAAATTAAACTATAAAAAATGTATATAGTGTGAATTTTAAACATAAATCCGATGTCATAATGTTGTCACTTTTATATATATATATTTAAAAATATATAAGTCGAAAAGAAATGTCTTGTTGGGAATTGGCAAGGAATAATAATATTTAATAGAAAGTTGATATAAAGTAGGATGTAAAAGACGTTTTTTGAAGGATTTTAAAAAATAGATTAAATTAATAATTATAGGTAGTTTGAAAATGTAGGAATAATTTTGTTATAAAATAGGGCCACAGTTACTAAATAAAAAAATAAATTAAATTATTTTGGTACGAAAGAAAATGGAAAAACAAAAACTAACTCTTTTGGGAAAGATGAGTACTACATATAATTATTCTGGATTGGGAGTATTATTCAACCAACAAATTTCTAATCTCAAACCTAAACAAAAGAAAATTAATGGTGGTGAAAAAATAAGTGCTAATTTATCAAAGACATAATTATTTATACTAAAAATGATTATTATATTAAATATTTAATAAAAAAAAAAATAAAAGTAAAAGACACATCTTTATCTTCATATAGAGTTATATTTTTTATTAACTCTCTAATTATCTCCTCTAATTTTATTATAATAATATTTATCTTCTACTAAGAAAAATACAATTATTATATTTTCAAGAATTTATTACCTTTCATAAAAATTGTTATTTAATTAATTATAATACAAATTTTGAAATTAAAATATTTTAAATTATCAATAATTATTCATACAAATACAATTCAAATTTATTATAAAATATCACGTTCACTTATATATTTTTTAATTATAATTTTTTTATATATATTTAATTTCAATATTTATTATGTTTTTAGATTTTCATATTAATTTTTTTTCAACTAAGTTTTAAATAAAATTGTTGGAAATAAAATCTTTTCGAACAATGTATTAATCTAAGTTAATTTCAATTATTTAAGTTTTTAAATATCATTAATTTCACATATTCGAATAATTTTAATATTTCAAAATAATAATAAAAATTATATAATATTATTATAATTTATATAAATTAATAATTTATATTAAAATATAATATTATATAATACATATTATTTATATATTATTAAACAATAAAAATATATAAAAATAAATAATTATTATGAATTTATAAAATTATAAAGGTAGTGTGATAGAGGTAATGATTATATAACGAATGTTAAAAGAGGTGATTTGAATATTAATGTGCATATGATATGGACATAAGAGATAAAAGTAATACAGTATAGACACTCACTGTAACAAATGCTTTAAGTTAAACGATGTAATGACTACTTTGAGAAATTTTCTAATTTATAATCTATGTTAAAAATATAGTGATATTGTTGTAAATATATTGAACTGTAAAAATATTATTATAAAAAAAATGAATAAAAACACATCCTCGTACGCAAGATTGTCTGTGGAGAGCCGGATAGAATGACAAATGAGGGACCGAATTAGTATATTTTTTACTTTCACATAATTTTACAATAGGAATTTATTTTTAATCATACTCTTTATTTTTATTATATCAATTGAATATTCTCTATATATTCTATTTTATATAACTTTTAAATTTTTTTTAAAAAAATATCAAATATTATATTGTTTTTATATATTTAAAGGGTGTTTGAAAAATAATTTTTCAAAAAACTTTTAGTTGTTTAACTATTTAAAAACTTAATCTAAGTATTTTGTAATTAGTTTCAAAAGACTCATTTTTAAAACCTTAGATATTTCAATTTTTCATAATAATCTTTTCACTTTAGTTTTTTTTATTTCTTTTTTGTTCTTACGAATTAAATATTAATCTCACACATATTAATATATATTTTAGGGTAAAATCCATTATATCCCTGTGTTTTAATTTAAAAATACAAAATCTCCTTTTCAAATAACACTAATAACATCTGTGTTTTGTAAAATATAACACAAAATAACCAACCACAATTAATTAACACAATTGGGATTCACGCTCTCCATTTAAAATTACTCAAGCAACCCTATTATATCTTCTTCAAAACCTTCGAATCAAGGATGGGGATTGCATTTTCTTTGATGATGAGTGATGACGGCTCATGTAATTACCGCGGTGGATGCTACAGAGTAGGTAAGTTTTCCTTTTTGAATTTAAACTTTTCGTAGTAGTCGATTTCACATTTTTGTGAATGTATCGGATTGCGAAAATTGAATTCATGGGTGACAGAATTATTTAACGGGCTTGGGTTTGTGATAGATTTGAATGAGTTTATTTCGAAAGTATTCGGTTTGGGTTTGTGTTCGATTCAGCTGAGTTGATTCCGAAAGCATTGGTTTGGTTTTGGGTTTGTGTTCGATTCAATTGAGTCAATTGTAAAAGCATCGGATTTGAGTTTGTGTTTGATTCAACTTAGCCGATAGCAAAAACCGAACTTTTCTAATGGGTGATGTATATTTTGTTCAACGTTAATAGGTTTCAACTTACCTTCGCAATTGTTTATTCTGTTAATGGGTTTGCGTTTGATTTTGTATTGTGAATGTACATTTAGGTCTTATATAAGTGTATATTTTTTTAGATTTTTTTAAGAAATGAACAAAATTAAGTAATTTATAATTGAATGATTTTTTATTTTAATGTAGAAGATTATTAGAAACCAAACTATATAAGCCCAAGGCAAATTATTGAAGGTACAAGTAAAGTTCTATTTGTAGTTTCAGTAATGTTTGCTCTATCGTAGACTTTGATAAAAGTATTTATGTCCATTAGTTCATTGAAAGCAAAATATAGAAGCAATATTGGCAAGTTTTATTTGAGAAACATGAGTATGTTAAGCCGACGTGGAAGATACGTTGTTGTTAAAGTTGTTGGGTTCACAAAAAAAAACGAAGGTAAATCATTTTGCAATTGTAAGCTTGGGTGATGTGACTTTTTTTTTTGTTGATTGGAACTTTTGAATCCACCATTAAGGAATACGAGAAGCCCGCACAAAGTATATGAATTCGATGAAAACAAGGTTGTTTCAAGGGGTGAATATGCATGATCTTGAAGAGAATGATACTAAAGATCTTACGAATACCAAATTGCATCATTTTGAAAAAAAATAAATGTATATCCTCGTTGCTATTATAATCATCACATGTATTGTCTTGATTAAGTATATTAACTTGTAATATTGATTATACGATGAAGTTGTTACATTCCCCCTAAGAACACCTATGATTGTACGTTAGATTTTGTATTAGTAGTTATTTGAAGTAATTGCATACTCTATGTTGTATGAAACGACTCTTGTTGGTATCGCTAGTAAGTTTATTTTCCGCCTTCGTTTCTATGTGTCTTTATTGTATTGTGTTTTGGTCTTGTGTAAGATATGATACAAGGTATATTGATTTCATACTATGTGTCTTCTTTACTAATGTGGTGTTTTCTAATTTGTTGCTTGGTGGAATCTTTCTTGTAGATGTTATATGCTCTTGAAACGATGTCTTTCATGCCTCACTTAAAGCATCTTTATCAGGCTCTTCTCCCATTCCAACCTATGATAAGCTGCACTATTGATTAAATTGTTTAAAAAAATTAGATAGATAGAAAACCATTAAAAAAAAAATCAAATCCATAAGTAGCACCTTCAGCCTTTGATTGTCCAAAATGAAGCAAATAACAAGAAAAACATGTACCATCGGATTAACAATAATGACTCAAAATTATTTCCCTCAACACTATTGAAAAAATATCAATCAAATACCTCTAAAGAAGGTGGAGTTGTTGTAGCACTGTTGTTATCTTGTGATGGTATGTTTGCTTCACTTTCAGGATTAAGTATACCAAATGTCTGTCCATTCTGCTGTTGGAAGAAATACGTAGTCTTAGGGACAAATGTTTTATTCAAAAATAATATTTAAACGAACACTTACTTGTGGGGAAGTTATAACATTCAAAATCCGAGCTGATGTTAGTCTCTTTTTCATCCCATGCTATACACAAAGGCCAAAAAAAAATTAAGGACCAAATTGTGACAAAATTCATAAATTATAGCCGAAATAAATTAATTTTTTTACTATTGGCAACACCCGTGCTTGGCTGGTGGCATGTTGAAAGGCACTTGGCTAAATTGAGATTCTGTTACAACACCGAAATGTGCAGTTGAGTTCTACGTAAATTATAAACCCGATTAATATAATCATGCATAATTTGATAATCAAAGTAAAACAATTTACAATTTACATGTTCGAATCTTGAATTTGGATGTTGAGGGTTCTTGCAGCTCCGTTTGTTACGGTATTGTTGACGGAAGATGCACAAGTGTGTGTGAGATCTTCACGTGATACTTTCGTTTTATCCTAAACATCATTCGCATCACGCCTTCGTTTTGGCCACACGTCTTAATAATAAAAGGATTAACTGGCCTTAAGGATGACTTCTCTTGGTTATGCATTTCAGAAATAGGATTAATCATATGACCATACAATTTCAGGTATAACTCTCTACCGAAATACATGTCCACATACAATAATGAATCCTGTTTGGGCATACTAATTGCTGCCATGTGATATCCAACTAATTGAAACATCCCACAAGTGAAATTTGTGGTCTGAAGTTATACGACGTGGTTGTTCTGCCAATGCATTACCTTGTACTTGTCTTCTCCAACCCAAGACTCACTAAGGGTGTGTTCGTTTGTAGGATTTAAACAAAATCCTACTATTCATCCAAAAATTTCCCCCCAAAAACATCAAATCAAACCCCTATTTTTCATTTTTTATATTATATTAAAAATCAATTTTACATTCAAAACATCACATCAACACCTATTTATATCACATCATACAACTATTCAAATTCAAAATTTTTACTATTCAAATCCCAACTCAAAATCCAAACCCCCAAACAAACACACCCTAATATTATTTACAAGAACATCACATTTGGTCCTTATTGAAAAATACGCTCTAGCCCACCGATTTTATGAAATTTCAGCTAACCACTCAAATGCATTCTTTTGATTCACCAATTTTTTGATCAACATTTCATACTTCCTCTCATAATAGATTTATGTTCATTGGCATTGTCAGTTGATGTTGCCTTCCAAAATAAACTTTTCAACTCCATTTCTTAGTATTTACTCTTAAAGTTATTATATATGTGTCGCAAACAAAACCAATGTTCAACATTTGGGACATGCTTCCCAATAGCCTCAACTAAATCTTTCTATAAATCACTTATAAAGGCCCAATATTCAATATGTGGTTTACCCAAATCTCTCATGAGAAGACTCAAAAACCAATCTCAACTGTCAAACCTCTCAATCTCTATGCATTCCATTGCGATAGGGTAAATATTGTCCTTTTCATCTCTCCCAACAGCTGACAGAAGTTTTCCTTTGTAAATACCCTTAAAAAAATCTATCTAATCCTATTAAAGGCTTGCAGCCTTCCCCAAAACCCATGACTCAACGGCTTTAGACAGTAATGCATCCTCTATAGTACGGGTGGTGTCAAACTTCTATCCACCTTTAGAATGCATGAACTCGATGGATTGTGCTTCACAACTATGTGGCAGTAGTTGTATAGCCTTGTGTACTACTATTTTAAATCATATTTCGAAAGCTCAATTACATGTTTTTTTGTCTGATACACCTTATACTTTCCGACCTTAACATTTACGTCTTTTCTTATCTTACTGGTCAGATAATCAATGGTCTTTGCAAAATTATCTCTTATATATTTCAAAATTCTCATTTCCAGGTATCTTCAAAGAAAAGAAAAACAAACAGAGGTAAAAAGAAAATCTTGGAAGTTAAACTAAGATGATAGTTGTCTCGAAGTCAAGTAGTAACAAAATTTATTACACCTTAGCTATTGACAACTGATTTGCATACTCAATTAAGCATAAATATTCTCACTATCATTAGATATACGTGAAGAAAAAAATAATATATAAATGAAATCAAAATCAAAGGGCAGTCATTGACTGCATGATATCATTGTCATTGACAGATTAATTAATAGGATTTTTAAATTTTTATTGTTCCAAAACCAAAAGTGCATATGCATAGATAAATAATTTTGTAATTCTACATAATATTTCTAATACAAATAAATTTTCTAATAGCAAGAAGATTTTGAAATAGTTACGTAACAACACTACAGTCTCTCGATAATTCAACACACAACATAAAAAATAAATTCAATGGCCATGTACACTACCAATGCATTTGTGATCAAATAGCTTCAACTACAGTCATATTTGAGAAACAAAAATTATCAAGCTTCAAAGAAACAAAAAAATAATAATAATAAAAGAAATAGTAAAAATTTGAATAAAAATAGGCTTTTGAAGTAATGTTTTGAATAGAAAGTAAATTTTTTTTTTTAATGTAATGTTTTAAGAGAAAAATAGATATAGTATGTGATGTTCTCAGGGAGACAAAAAACGAATAGTTCGTAAATAATCTTGAAATATAAGTAAAAAAGGCCATGTCTTGTTTTGTCCTGTTAAGATGGATTCCGAGGTTCCAACTTAAAACCTATTGGTATTAAGTGAAGTAATCCTTTACTCTTATATCCAAGAGAGTGGACCCCCGAACCCTTCTTTACAGGTATCAAAGTCATAGTGTCCGTATTGAGTATTGAACTTGTTTAGGATTTCGAGATGATATCATCTCGAGGGGAGAGTGTTGAAATTTTTGTCCTTTATTGGAAAATTGTAGGAACTTTCTCTTTGATATAAAGGTTAAGAGCTACTCCACTTAATACTAATTGATTTTAAGTTGAAACATCAGAACCCTTCTTAACATGCCATAGCAAATTTGTAATCCCAATTCTTGGGAGGTCCCTACTGTTTTCTTAACATATTGTTGATTTGTAGGGGGTTATGCTCATAGTATAACTATGGGCATTCTCACAGTAGGGTGTGTTTGTTAGGGGGTTTGGATTTGAATGTAAATTTTGAATTGAAATTGTTGTTTGATATGATATAAACAAATGTTGATGTGATATTTTTAATATAAAATTAATTTTTAATATAATGTAAAAAAAGAAAAATGATTATTTGATTTGTTGTTTCTAAGAGACATTTTTTATGAAAAGTGAAAATTCATCAAAATCTTTGAAACAAAAACACCCTAAATTTGTGCCTGAGCAAGTGTGTTGTGATAGAGTCTTATATGTGTCCCTCTGCATTATCAATCACATGTCATTTCATCTATTTTTATTGCGTTTTGGGATTTCTTTATGGAAGAACATCGGGCATATCTAGATATGTTTTGGAAATGTTTGGAATTTTGGAAAGTTTTGAAAATAATGGTATTTGATGTGATCTAAATAGGTGGTAGATTTAATGTTTTGTATAGAAGATGTTGAGATATAAAGCCTGATTATATCCTAACATAAGATAGGTTTTTTATTTCATATTTTAAATGAAATATAGGTGTTAGATGTGTCATGTTTTAAAGAGAGAAGTTATAGTTCCAAAACATAATTGAAAACATATGTAAACAGAGCCTTAGATTACTTTTTAACAAGTCCATGTGCTTTCACTTTTTCCTGGATAATTTTTGTTGCCTTTAGCAAAAAATGGATCTTGTTTATGAAATATATTTACTTCCACCAGGAACTTGCCTTGCTTTGGAAAAATATGAGATGTCGAAATATTGCAAAAAAAAAAGGTCGAGGTATGGAGCTTTTTGCCTCTGAACCCTTTCAAAGCTTAATCCAACATGTGCTTCTTTATTTTTATATTTGTTCAATGAAAACTACTTTCGATTGATTTATGTTTGGCACTATATATGGTTAATGTTCTTTTGACATATACCTAAGGTTGGTAAGTGAAGCACTTAGGAAGATGACAAGGAAGATGTCAGAAATTGCAAGCTCTTATGTTTCATCTTGCGTTCTTCAAGTTTTGAAACAACCACTTCCCATACTACCCACCACCAAGACCTTTTAACCTTTTGTACAAAATGAGATTTATTCAGTTACCATTGAGATGTTTGTGAATTTTCTTGCTTTACAGACTTGTGTAAAACATTGTACAGAAGATGAAAGAAACATTATGTTCATGGAGCTTGGGCCACACTTAATTGCCTTTGTAAATAATACTTATGCAGTTCATCTTGTCATCAAAATGCTAGATAATGGTATATCTGGAAAGCTTCCCACAATGTGATCTTTGACTTGGCTCTTTTTATATTTACTTACCACTTTCTAGATATGTATAGGAAAATAGAGTAGAGAAATAGAGGGAAAATATTATTTTACTTCATCATAAAAGAGAAATGAAGAATATATATATATAGAGAGAGAGAGAGAGGTATTTAGAAATCTATCAT